TTCAAAGTACATTTTTTTAAAAATGTTAATCGTTTTTAAAAATTAATAATTTTTGGTAGGGAAGTTCCGCAATTGTGCCTAAGGCACGATGCCTTAATTGCCTTAAGACAGAATTCCACTTACAGCTAGTTTATGATGATATGTTCCTCCCACAATTTAAAAACAATAAAATAAAATGCTTTCCCTCCCTATCAGTGCCTTTTAATACCGAATACGCTGATGTCTTCGATCCGTTCTGGCGTTCTGCCGTTCTATTCCCTCCATGCCTCTATTCCGCCGCCACATGATGCCGTAGTACCCGCCGCGGCACCACGTTCGGCTCGGTTCAGTCCGCCGGTCGTCGCCGAAGCTCACGCACGGGTTCGCTCTATTTTCCCGATGGGGAAATTCTAACACCAAACATCATTTTCTTAGCACTTTTATCAATAATTTTGCACAAAAAGTGAATTGTTACATATGCCGGTAGTACTGGTCGTCCTGTCCTATTGACTGTTGTTTGTTAAATATAAATATCGATATTTGTTAAAAGTGACATATATAAAGTTGATGTTTACAAGTTGTTATTCAAGTTGTTGGCACATTTTCAAATTGGTATAACGATATTAAGTGAATACATTGTTTTAATTTGGCAGAGGAAGAAGTTGATTAACTTGGTAATAATATTTAGTATTTTTAATTTTGCTTACAATGAATCATACCAATATATAATTTTATGCTTGCTATTTAATATATTTTAATCATTTTCAATATGAGGTGTGCTAGAAGCTTGTGTTTTTTTTAAATTAATATATCTCAAGATCCACTGATTTTAATTCTACGAAATAAAGCTTTAACTAATAAATTAAATTGATTACAATTGATTACAATTAATCATACCAATATATCATTTTATTTAATATATTTTAATCATTTTCAATATGAGGTGTACTAGAAGCTTGTGTTTTTTTAAATTAATATATCTCAAGATCCACTGATTTTAATTCTACGATAATAAAGCATTAACTATTAAATTAAATTGAATATATCTTAATCATTTTCAATATTAGGGGATTAGGGCTTGTTGTTTTCTTATTTAAATTAATATATTTTATTCACTATAGAATTTTAACTTTTTAACTATTTCTCTACCAAAACAAGTAAAAATGATTCTACAACTAGTTCATTATTTCAGAACTAATCATTTTCCAGAAAAGGGCGATGTTACAACGACAATAATACCTCTGATGATTTATTATTTATTAATTTTTAATTTAATTTTAAATTGACTTGTTTCTGATTAATTCTCTTTATAAACTAACGCAAGTCTCAAACTATAATTAATACATGAAACATATAATAATAATACAAGTTTTTATCATAAATCATCTTAAACTACAATTATTATCATAATGCACATTAAAGATATAGTACCTCTTATAGCACAGTTTACATGTGCTCACATGTTACATTTATTTATTTCTTCCAATGTTTATCAATTAAATTTGTATTTGTAATTCTTGTATGTTACAACTAGCCCAAAGGTTTTGTCTCAACTAACCTAAAAAGTGATAAATTTTATTATTTTCAATAAGATATATGAAATTTAAAATTAGTTTTTATAATATAACGCAAACCGATATTTTGAGACAATGTAATTTTACACTTTTGTACACTTTTGTTTACTAGAAGACGGTTTACATATTTCTTAGGAAAAATACTGTTTGATTACCGGTTTTCAACATGTGATTTTTTGTATAAACCAAAGCAAAAATGTTGTTACTCATAGTAATTGATATTTGTTTAATTTTTTAGTTTATATCTAAAAAAATTTAAACATTGTTTAATCTATATTTACCTATTTAATTTTACAATCCACATATATTCTAAACTATTGTTCAATAGCCTTGGTTTAGATTTTAGATTTATTATTGGTTTAGATTACGTATATATATATATATATATATATATATATATATATATATATATATATATGTGGGAGTTGTAATGATTATGATAATATATTTAATTAGAAACTCCCAACATAATAAAAAATATAAATTTATTAACTATAAAAATATTTTCAATATCAAAAATATACATGACATGTCCGATTGTTTTTTACAAAACAAACCCAGCCTTTGATATCGCCACACACTCCCTGCCCAGTGTTGATCTCACAGTTTAAAAAAAAAAATACAGGGAAACACGTTATAAAAATGTGGTGGGAAAGCAGATTATAGCAGACCAGTGTTGTAATACTGGTCAATTACAAATTTCCATGTTTCGTCAGCAGATCCACCGTATGTGGTGATTTGACCTGCCATCAACTCCATATTCTGCATAATGTTCTCGATCTAATGGGTATTAGTTATATCAGAATAACTTAATGTTTAGAATGCATAATTTATGGGTACAGTTTCCATTTCTGCAAGCGTTGCATTCGTATCTGATGAGTTCCGATCAGAGAAAGAAGTTGGCTCTTTATCCAAATCAGGATCATTGGTTTCTTTGACATAAGAGTCCAGAATTGTGGAATCCAATAAATTATGTCAAATTTTGTTTTGACTCGTCGTTGTCACCGATAATGGGAGGTAGCATTATAAGACGATTTGTTGAGTTAACAGAGAAAGAGAGGTTGAATTGCATTCCAATGAAAAGTTCAGGCTCCAAATTATTTTTCTGTCAGCAATAAACACTGAGGTCTGGGTATACCAAATGAGTAACCTCGGAAGTCTGATCCCCGATAGTAAGTGCGTTTAACTATGATGGATTTGGACTGGAAATACCTTATAGGTCGTCACTGAAGACCAGTGATTA